AAGTCAATAAATTGGCTAAGATCGGAAGCGAACAACTTTTTTATACTTAAATTTCAGGTTTTAACAAGTACCGGTTCAGGAAAAATATAATGTTAAAATTTAAAATTAAAATTGTACATTAACTTCAATGACCATTTCGTCATTGCAGAATTAAAAAAATGTTTGGGGTTCAGACTTTAAGTGCCTATAATTTCTAAAAGGATGGAGAGAGTGGGTAAAATGTTCTACAGAAATAAATTTCTAGTAAAAATCTACATATTTTTACTATAAATTTCCTATGTTAAAACACATGGGCGGATAAAGTGAAAATAATAAGCACTGTTTTCTTTTTTTCGAATTATAAAAAAAACATTTTTCATTATTTTTGCAATAGGAAAACGGATAATTGAAATCATAAAAAAAGTAATTTTGCTACAAACATGAGAAAGTTAACTTTGCGCTCTAAACTAAAAACAAAATTTGTTTTGCTATAATATCAAAATGAATTCATATGGAAAAAGCCAAAAAAATTACTTTATGAGAAAAGTTTCAGTCAAAATTAAAGAACTTGTCCCAGATTTTCGGAAAATAAAAATTAGAAATGGAACATTTAAAGAAGCAGCTACTAGTTGGGAATGCCAAAAAATATTTGATGCAATTTATGGTACACAACATTCATTATTTCCCTAATTTTACCTTATAACATTTTGAGAATCTTCTATTTGGAGTTTAGAAAACTATTTTCGCAAAGTTCATTTTGTATAGATACAACACCGCCACGAAGAAAAAACAAAGAATGAAATTTTGTAATTTCTTAAAAAAGAAACGGTCGAAGATCGAAACCTAATGGCCAAGTTTCTGGAACGACATTTTATCTTTGTATATGTAAATTACTAATACAGACGTCAAACGTAAAGATTTAATTTACAAATCTCTAAATGGACCAATATTAACATATAATTGTCCTAACTGATTGGATATCAGCGATTTTAACGTAGAAAAAATTAGGTTTTTTGAAATAAAATGCATTAGGGACTATACAGAAATCCGTTGACGAATTTCTTCATTTCTATACCAATAAAATAATTTATAACCATGCAAATTTAATTTTCATTAATAATTTTATATTTCGACTTATTGGAAACCACATACAACCGTGTAGTAAAATCTTGAAAAATTTGTTGATTTGTCATGTCTATAGAATAAAAAAAATAAATATCTAAAAAACGCACTTATTAAAGGATTCACTTTGTATGAGAGCTTCATTTACTTATACCAATAATTTTTTTGAAAATTCTATCGACACTTCAAAAGAAACCGTTCTCCAGAAAAAGTAATATTAAATATAAATGAAGGTGATAAAAATAATAAAAAAGCTTTCATATGATGATCTATTTATTAGAAAAATATATTAAATTTTTTTTTATGAATGTTTCCCCTTTTGATTACTTATATTCATGTATATGGATATGTATTTCCATTATCATCGTTGATATAAGTTTAGTTGTTCTTGATTAGTTCATAATTAGTTGTTCTTGATATTTAATTTTCTTGAGTTTAAGTTTTCTGTAATTAATGTGATTTATATTAAATTTAAACCTTATATTGCTGGTTGAGTATATCTATATATATGTGGCGCCCTAAAAGCTGAAAATTGCACTATTATCGTTTGTATAGTAATTTGCATCAAAGAAAAATTTAATAAAATAATAAAATGTATTATTTAAAAGAAAAATGGTTTAGTTCAATTGATTTGAAATTTTATTAATAAATTTAAGCATAGATACTCGTAGTTTTTGTGTAATTTGAAAATATTCGTTGCTACTTTCGCCTTACGTATTGAGTATTAGTGGTTTATATTCTTTTTTAATAATAATATTACGAAGAATTATGCAGACTACTATTATGGTATTAGCTGAACAATACCCAACAGCTCTAAAAAATTTACTTTTTAAGCACTTATCCAAAAAGCTTTTAAAAAAAAGTGCTTATTAGTTTCACTACGCCCGTCCGTCCGTCCGTCCGTGGACATGTTTACAAAAGTTTTACACCTTTGAAGATAGAAAGCTGAAATTTCATGTGCACATAGATTTTTCATTACTTCTAGTATTAGATCTTTCCTTCCGTAGAAGAAAATGTTTACCTATCTTGCCCCTTTCAAAAGTTACACCCCCTTGAAACCCTAAAAAAGCATTTTTTAAATTTTGCAAACGCGGAAGTATAGTGGCTGGCTTCCTCTACCATACTATACAATATTTGAACTTTAAAAAAACAAAATGGACGCTAAAATTTACCATTATCTAAAGTCGGGTTTTTCCAAATTTTTAAGACCGTTTCTCTTTTACACCGTAAGTTGTAGGAGTCTGAAACTTGTGCAGCTTTTAGACATTGTAGTTGATTTTTTTCCACCTTCACCACCCCTAAAGTTGTCGCCTCGCGCAATTTCTAAAATTTAAATTTTCCGCACTTTATATTTCCGGAACCACAATTTTTTAAAATTTCTATAAAGGCAGAAAGCTAACGGTAAATTCCACGCCACTAAAAATTGTGGCGTGAAATTTACCGTAAATAACCTCTAGAATTGAGCATTATATTTACACGCCTCTAATTATTTTTTTGCTTTATTTCAAAGACTACACAAATTGTTCATCCTAAATGTATGCAATGCTTGAAATAGTTTCATACATGGATGAAAGTAATTTTAATAATGTAGTACATCGCTAGATTGTCTTTAAAAACAACATTGGGTTGACCCAACTTTATGTTTTGTTAGTTTAAAATGCTTGCTCAACAAAAATATGTGTGGAACTTCGAACGCGTGGCCAAGTAAGTGGCGCTGAGAGAAAATGTTGAAATATAGGTATTGTTATAACCAATAAAATGAGCTGCAATTTATATTTACCTATATCTCCCTATTTTTCTAGAAGAAAAAAATATTTTAACAATTTTCTACTTGTATATCAAAGAATTACCTATTTAATAGTAGAATGAAAGCTGGAAAATAATGCATTGGAACTAGCCAATGTTTACCAATCGTTTGACTTCTTTCTGGTACATGAAAATTTTATAGCTTCCTCTCTTTCAATTTTTACAATCAATTACCAAATAATAACAGAAATAAACAGCGTGAAACATAAAATGTCATCCAAATGGCAATTTCTGAGCAACAATTTTAATTTGTTAAGTAAAACTTTTTCTTTATTAGAGTTTTTCGTAATCACATTATACTCGCGCTTCTTTGCGCTTATTACACTATATAAACGATTCAAGATTAAAAAACTAAAATAATTAAAATTATAAATAATGATTAAACACTATTGATGTAAATGGTAAAGAAAAGGAGAATACACTATTACATCATTCCGTATAATTATACCGCGCACTCCAGTCCTATTTGAATAAAAATATGTTTTACTATCCCAGCGAAAAGATTTGTAAGATGAACCTAAAAATCTTACAATAAATTTCCCCTATAAAGTCAAAATTTACTATGGAGCAAGTCAACATTTTTCAAGAAACAATTTTTTTTTAAGTTCTACATTTTTCCAGGAAAAAATCGCGTATAAATTGTAGAATAAATTATTTAAGAAGTAAAAACATATCCATTTAATAATTCGTAAATCTAGGTTATTTCATTTTTGATTGAGTGATGATAAAGGTAATCCTCTCATATAGATTAATGAGCGGATTTATCGCTATATCACCTGAAGTCTTAAGAATTCATAATCTTCAATAAGAATTATACGTACGGGTATGAGAATATAAACATCATAGGCTTAATTATTGTGCTGCAGTATATTAATTTTTTATTTTAAAAAAGTTTTCTTAAAATTTCTCTACTTTCAAATATTTACTTGACTAAGTTACCAACTGCATTTTTTATAAAACTAGATAAGTAGATTTCAGTTAATAGTTCTATTTACGTATTTAAATAGATATTTAAGGGTTTTTACAATGGCTGATTGATTTATATGTTTATCAGATTAAGAGCATTAGAGCAGTGAATATTTGAATTATTTAAAAAAAATAATAATAGCAAAATAAAAGATTCTTTTCTACTTTTTTATTTACTCTTAGCAAAAAAAGTAATATTTCTTTAAATGATCTAGATCTGATATTGAATTCCAAAGCTTGCGCTTATTCAAAGCTGTTTCAGTCATGTATTTATTTAAAATAAAAGGAAATGCATGATGTTTTTGCCAAAATAAAAAAAGAAAATCTGTTGTAATATTAACGTTTTTCCTTTCATACATTGACATAAAACCCTTATGCAATGTATCTAAAAATGTTGGCAAACATATGTAGTTAATATACTATAAGTAAATTTCAAATTTTAATAATTTCAGAAAAAGCAAATTGAAATCTTTGTCGTTCAATAAAACTAAAACTAAACTCTCTTTCTGTTAAAGATGATCGAATCGTTTGTAAAGATTTCATTGAAAAGAACAGTTCGAATATAATTATATTTAATACAACAGCATGAAAAGTTTATTCTATTACTATTAGTTCAATCAAAGTTGCTACCATTTTTGACAATAAATAAATTTTGTTTTGAAATACATCAAAATACTTGAAAATGATTGGAGGTGATGAGTATTACAGGACAGTGATGAGTAGACGCTTAATGCTAAATTTGTTATATTTATCATATAAAAAGAAATCTTGTTAATGTTCAAGTTCATTTAGGTAATAATAACATAAATATGATATAATAATTAAGAAGATAAATGTTCTTTGAAAGAATAAGTTTGATATTAAAATATGCAAAACGGAATCACTTAAATATTTCATAATTGCGCTTAACACAAAGAAAAATACATTTACTTTTTTATATGTCAAAAATATTGTTGCAACATGTTGCTAAAGAAATTGTTCTGAAAGGTAAATTCAAAAAGATGCAACATTGATTTTTTGAAACCACAAAGTTAAAGCTACAAAGAGCTACAAAAATTTTAAGATTTAACTCATATAAAAAAGTTTAATAAAAATTATAGATACCAGGTATTTTTAGGCAACACAATTGCAAATAATTCTCAGTAAGAAGCCATTTTATACCTGTTTAGAGAGTAAATATTTTTATACAATCATCAATTTAGTTTTACAACCAGTAACCAAATTAGTTATTTTGGGATCTTTAGTGTTCAATAAAACTCCTTTATATTCACCTTTAGAGAGTGAAAATTGTATTTAAAAACAAAAAATTTGGATTTGGGCACAAACTGTAAAGAAAAAAAATAAATAAACAAGGTCATCGTAAATTTTTGAAAGGTAAAAATATTTTAATATTGTTGCTTTTGATTTTTAAAAAAATTTTAACTGTTGCAGAAGAAGTCTCCAGCAGCCGAAAAACATTCTTAGTTCTTTCCTTAATGTTCTCAACTTGTTATTGTATCCGCTAACCTTTGAAGTGAGAAGTGACGTGATTAAATTGCAAATTTGAAAAAAAAAGTAATGTTAAATTTAAAAAAAAAGTAATTGATGAATTAACTTCAGTTTTCAGTAAACAAATTTTATTAATTTTAGCGGAATATTTTCAAGAAATAAAAGGTTAAGTTTCTATTTTGTGATTATAATACTCCAGCAATATTAACATTGGAATAATAAGAGGATATCGGCTCGATTTGTTTTTTTCAAATACTTTACTTCAGTGCAATAAAAGTTTAAGAAAAACTAAAATGAATTCAAATTAATAAATTACTATATTCTATAGTTATTAATTTAGTTAATTTCATAGTTTATTAATTGATATTTTTTAGACATTTCCCGATTTATCATTGACAAAACTGAGCCATTTGAGTAAACATATAAAGAGATAGTCTCTATGTGAATCTTTATGCAGGGAAATTAAAGAAAAATGACTATGTGATGATGTAATAAAAACACGAATATTGCAGATTTCAGATAAGCAGTTAATCATATAAAATATTAGCACCAAATATAAAACATAAACATTGTGGATGACACCAGTGAAATTCAGAATAACTTATTGTCAAAAAATAATTTTTCGTATAAAACAAAAAAAATCCAAAACGAAAATAATGCAAAAATCTTTTTATACAAAAAGTTGCATTTTAGAATAATTTTTTTTTTATTCATCTCGTATTAAATTGAAGTGCGATCGATGAATTTTTGTCAAAATAATATTAGAATGCTAGGGTTAAACATATTTTGTTGCATGTACTTTAGGTTGACTAATTTAAAAATCAATTGTTTTACACAAGTTATAATTTAAAAATTCAAGTATTACACACCATTTGGGTACGAACTTATTCAAAAATGTAAATAATTTCAGTCATGAAGCGAAAAAACCACCATTAGGTACCATAACATTCGCTCATTTTATTTTTAGTAGAGCTATACGGTGTTAACTAAGCCTCTTGCATAGTTTAGTATAATTTTTTTATTTAGTATACTTATGAAATTTTTTGAATCATTTATTATCCTTGGTGAAAGTAGAAAATTTTATGTAAAAATGTATATTCGATTGGTACTGTACGGTTAATTGTATTACACTATTGTTTTTTCGTCAATTATATTTTTTGTAATTGATTTAATTTTTATACAAAAATATCTGGATAAGTTGCTCAAGTATGCACATATTTTCTTTGATAATGTGCCATTTGAAGTTACGATTTTCAAAAGAAAAAAAACGTTAAGATATTGTACAAAAACTTAACTGCTATGGTATTATCATAAGTTGTTTATTTCCAGAAAAAGAAACTTATAAACACTAAATTCTTTAACAATTAAAAAGAATTTTTTAGTCAATTTCAAGTATTCTATGTATTACAATACGGCTCCTTAAGTTCTCATACTCCACAATCACCTGATACTACTCGTATTAGGGAAATTACGCGGAGCTAGGTTTTTCATATCACAAAGATATTATAAAGTGTAATTAACCTTTGAAATTGGAATATACTGTACAATAATATTTTCTTTAACATATATTTTGGGACCTAATAGTTTTTACATTTAGCGAACTTACGCTACGAAAAAGTTTCTACATTTCTTTTTAAATAAAGGAAGGTATAAAATAAGGCAAAGTAGTTCATTCAGTAATAAAATGGTATGAAAAGAAAATGTAGTGTTAGAAGGTTCACCTAACTACCAATATATTAAAGTAGCAATAACATAGACAATTGCACATTACTTTGCAATAATGAAAGCTTAAAAAATATTACCAGTTTACGTATAGCGTTTTCACTTTGAAATTAGAAATTTTCATTTAGGCGACTTAGTTTTTTTCACCGGCATTTTTTTTTTATTTTTTAATAAAAGTTTGTTTTAAATGTTTGTAATAATAAACTAAATATTAATTTTTTTGCGATCTTTAAAACTAACGCATGAAAGTATCAAAACTTAAATTAATTTTAAAATAAAATTATCATAAATTTTATGATAAATTCAGGTAATCACCCTTTCGTAATAATAATTTTTTATGTCAATGAATTATAAACATTAAAAATAATTCAAATTATTTAATTTTTCAAAGAAAAAGAAATATTAATTGTGGAAAAGTTGCTGTGTTAGAACTAGAATAATTTTTGAAATTTTAAGAAAAAAGATTTTGAACTCCACAAATTTACATATATATATGATGTGCATGTCCTAAATATCCTAATGTACATATCCTAATAAAAGTTATTCTCAAATAATCAAACGCTTTTTATGTATTATATGTCAAAATATAAGCGTAAAATTAGATCCTTACAAAATATATACGTAAATACCGAATTGGATTAAAAAACAATATAAGTATTATGTAACGTATATATTTATCAATTATATATCATTTCTTTTTTTCATATACATATTTCACTTCTTCTAGCAATTTTCGCTTTAAAATTTAATCAATTTTAGGTCTTCTAATTATATGTTCAGGTCATTTAAACGCAAGAGTCAAAAAAAGCATATATAAGTATGTATTTAATTATGTATTTGAAAATTACTCTGCTTTGAGCAGTGCTTTGAGAAACTTACCATTGATTTGTAAAATGAATATTTTAAATTAAAAAATAAAAGGGAAAAAAATTTAGATATAAAAGATAAACTTATAGGTAATTGTTCTAATGAATACCTATAGAGAAATTACTTAAATTATTAATAAGTATAGCCTCAAAATTATTAATTTAGTTATTCAACAATCAATTGAAATCAGCTTTCAGATATTTACGAAAATTTAAATAAATATTTAAACTCAAATTTAACTTTTGAAATGAAAATGACTAAAATGAAAAATTTAATATATACTTAATATATTATAGTGTATGCTAACATAAGACCGTAATTCTTCCATTAAATTTTCTTAAACTTCCGCAAATTTATAGTTTACAATAAGCATCACAACATTGGCAAAAGCAAATATTACTTCAAAACTTTTAAAAGATGGCGTTTTCAACTCATTTTTTTTTATTTTGCATTGTACGACATGTTACTATTGTGAGGTTACAAAAATGAAGAATTTGTTTAAACTCATTTACTTTGAATAAAATTTGTTTGTGATACATTTACCCAGTAGATGGAGAAGACATAGTAAATATTTGTAAAGAACAACATTTACTCAGAATAAATAATAATATAATAGAATACAACAGTTCTAAAAGAGCGAAATTCATTTGCATCAGTAGAATTTGAAAACTAGTGTTAATATAAGTTTCTTACGAACTTACAACATTTGACAATTTCATCACAATTTATTATTCCGTACCCAATTTTTTAAATCCTTTTTTTCAACATTCTACCACATTTTGAGGAATATTAAAGAAATATTCGCAGTCCTAAACCATTTATATGATGTAAGTACTTTTGTATATGTTAAAAAAATGCAATAGTATGTGTTATTGGTGCCTGAAAAATTCTCTACTCTTTCGTTTTTTAAGACTTCAGTTGAAAATAATATCTCAATTGAAAAGGACTCATTCATATCAATATTTAGTAATAAATTTAGAATGAATTAATTAAGAAATTTTATTGAGTAATGGATAAATTTCAATGAGAGTGAGAAAGTGAATTATTTAATAACACAAAATAATAATTAATTTTTCAAAAGAACACCATTGATTTTAAAGAAAAAAAACTATATACCTAATTCTCATCAAATTTATTGTACTGGCACTAATTCATATTAGTGCCAGTGTTATATACATACATACAAATATTATATATATAAGCTTAGGATAGAATGTATATAAACATTTTTTTGTTGCTGTTCAAAACTTTGTATTGCGCAGATAATTTTTTCGCTTCATATTATACATAAATAGGCTGGCTAGAAAATTTACATTAATTCTAAAAAAAATAGGCTATACCTGTACAGAAACAAATGCACACACATTTAAACGTAATTTATGGCGGCAGCTGCTTTCTTTAAAAAGAAGTTTGTGTTGACTTTGCTTTTTTTTATTATTTTCCTTAACATAAACATAAACAATAAAAATTAAGGACTGTTTGAATGGCAGAATAAAGAGAGTAATATCGAGAGAATGAGAGAAATTGAGAAATTTTTAAAGTATGGAATATTAATAGAGATTCAATACATTTGCGTTTTATGACGGTGATATCAAGGCACACAAAAAATAAAAAAAAAATAAAAAAGCAGCAGCAAAAATCTACACAAGAAAAAAAAAACATTCGTAAATTAATAATGGCGAAAAAATTCAGTTTGTGCAATATTTGTTGAAGCAAACTTTTAATTCTAAGCCAAATTCAATTTAAATTAAATGACTTTTTTTTCAATTAACAATTAATTTTTGACTTCCTATTCATTGGTGATATAATATGATCCTTCAAGAATTGTTTGGAAGTTTATAAAAGCATCAAAAAAGTAAATTTTATTGTGGTAAATTTTAAAATATTTATGAGTGTTATATTTTTCATTTTTAAAAAAATTTATCAGGTAAGTGCTCGTCATTTTAGTTAATCTTTAATACTTTTCTTTTTGGTTGATTTTTTTTTGAACAGAACACTTTATACTTATTGATTTTATATACCAAATATAACAATTTTATCAATCTAGGGTTACCATATTATCAATCATCTTTTTTTAAAAAAAACTACATCCCATATATTTAAGCCGCATTACATTATGTGATAGGATATTGTTCCACAGAATATGTATTATTAAATATATGCAATCAGCATATTATTAAATAATATCACATTATGTGATGTGTCTTTGAAAATACGAGCGATAGCCACTAAAAAATTTATAACAAAACAAAATTTAACTAAACCATATAATAGAGAACGTTGTTACTTATTTTATTTTAGTAAAATAAAATTTAAAACTTTTGAATTTTTCTTATATTAAAATAATAGAATGTATTGCGAACAATTTTTACATCTTTTAATGTTACAAAAAATTAATAATTCATTTTATTGAATTTTCAATGTTAACCAATTATTACGTTTCGATCTTTGAACTTTGAAATAAATAACGAAAGAAATTACATAACACGCAATAACTAGAAATGTCCTTCAATGGGTTAATCTTCTGTTAAATAATAGTAGACTATTATTATTAGTGTTATTATTAATACTACTGTTAAATGGAAAAATAAAAATAATATAGCATTTACTATTCTTATATTGAAGTTTATTAATATAATTTTTAAAT